AGTTAATATAAATAGCAATGGAGAGAGTGGACATCCTTGTCTTGTGCCTTTTTTTATATATTAATATTATCCGTCAGTTCACCATTTACAATTACTTTAGCTATTTGTTCATTGTAGATTGTCTCAATTACATTTGTAAAATTTTTGCCAAAATCCATAGCTTTTATTTGCTGTATCATAAATTGCCAGTTCACATTATCAAAGGCTTTTTGGGCATCCAGGAAGATTAATGCCATTTGCTTCTCTGAATGTACCTCATAATATTCTAATATGTCCAAAATTATCCTTAGGTTATACCTTAGTTGTCTTTTTGGCAAAAATCCATTTTGATCTGAATGGATGAACTCCATTAAAAACTTTTTCAATCTTTCCGCTATAATCACTGCAAAGATTTTATAGTCCACATTCAACGGTGATATTGGTCTAAAAATTTTTATATGTGGACTCTACAATTCTTTTTGAACCATATGTATTTTTGGTTTTTTTATACTGTATTACCGCATCAAGTTCTGGGCACTACAGTTTGCCAAATGGGAGCTTATCCATATAAAGGTAGTTGGAATGATGCAAAGTCTGCAGAGGAGTTTGCCAAATGATGAAAGAGGGGTCTTCAAATATTTGAGAGGTTGCCACACAGAAGATAGAACATACTAGTTCTCGGTTGCTCCTTAGGACAGAATTAGAACTCTTCTCTTCCAATTCTCCCTTCCAAATGGATCACTTGGTGTGTGTGTATGTGTAAGTGCATGCACACACACACATTTTGGGGATGGGTGGGAATCACGGAGAAATACCCTTATTGCCTTTGCAACCAGCTGTCAGATGTGCTTTGGTTTGGGTTACTGCACTGAGCAGGGATTGGACTCTGTGGCCTTAAAGGCCCCTTCCAACTCAATTATTCTATGATTATTTATCAGTGATTTGGACTTTGAATATTTATATTTCTTCTTTGTGGCCTCTGTGAATGCACACAATTGGGTTGTTCTGTACCTGCGCAGGACATATCAGAAGTTTCTAGGTCTTAAAGACATGTGATTAGTAGGATGTTCCTTGGTGGAGCGCATGCTCCCACCCTCCAAAGGTGCCCTCAGTTCCTGTAAGAGTCCCCCACTGTCTAAAGCCTATATCAAAAGACAACGGCCTATATCTAGAAACTTCTGAGACATGCGCAGGTGCAGAACAAACCCAATTGTGTGCATTCACAGAAGACCACTAGAAGAACCATGGTTACAGGTAGGTAACCTCTCTTTCTTCTTCTCCCCCTCCCCCGTCTCACCAGGTCTTGCCTTTACTGCAGAAATATTTGCCATTCAGTTCCTGCTTCAGAAACTATAAGTGAGGAAAAAGCATTTCACAAAAGGCTGCTAACATTTATCCTAAATGTATTCCAAGCTGAAGTACTGGCATTAACAAAAAGGTGTGTTTCAATTAAAGAGTCCCCCACCCCACCCCAGCCACTATTTTAGTGTTACATTTCAGGAATTGCAATCTGCTTCATCAGATGTGTGATGGGTCTGAAGAAGTGGCTGTAATCCATGGAAGGTCACACTGAACTAAATCTGTTACGTCTTAATGGTATGAAACACTTCTGTGTTTCTTCTGTTTTGTTGAAACAGATTAATATAGTTACTTCTTTAAAATATTGTTTTGCTGTTGTAACTCAGTGTGTTTTGGCATCAACTTTGCAATATATTTTAAAAGAATAAATGATACTTGATGTATTTTGCTAGATTTCTATACAGAAAATTCCATTTTTAAGGAAAGTGTTCTAATCATAAATAAATTGGATGGTGTTTTCAATCATTGTATAAGTGTGCAAATGTTTAACTGTTAAATGTTTGCAAATCTTTGGTTTGTTTTTGTTTTGGATTTTTACTCCTGAACAGATTAAATGCCTTCTGCATGGTAAACACATAATGCTTGTGCTTTACTATTTATGTGTTGCAGAATATTGTCACTTTTGTAGAAATTGCACCAAGGTAGTAAAAGAGTTTAAGCTTGTAACCTCTTGTTAGAATTCTGTATATCCCATGTCTCAGGATACAAATCCTTTCAAGCCTGGTTACAGGTAACATCAAAGTAACATTATAAGTAACATTGACTGGAATCCTATTGTTGTTTGCATAAGGTTTGCATAATTTATTGTGGCTAACCGACAAGGGGCATCTCAGTTGTGCCATCGGAGACATAATCAGCATGGGACCAAGATACTGGCCAGCATTTGGATAGTCAGTCATGGAAAGTTATGCATTCCTTCCATAAACACCAATAGGACTCTGCTGATTTTTTTAAAAACTACAATAAATCAGCATATAAAAAGGTTTTGAAATCCTTTCAGCTGAGCAAGTGGATATAGATGACCCTGTAGACGGTGACAGAAATAGAGTCCTAATTTTTCTCCACCTCCCAATCTCCTTTCCTCAGTGTCTGTATTTGTTTTGGGTCCTATGTTTTTCTTTTGTTTTGCAAAAACAATCTCACACTTTTAAAACAACATAAATCTGTGGTACCTTGACATGTTAGACCCTTTGGATGGCCTCCTCTTTTAATCTGAAATTATATTCTAGTGTGTTGGCACTTGAGCACCTCTTGTTCAGTTATAATAGTCTAGTTCTTACAGATCTTGTCCTGGTAAACTGACTGGTTAATTCTGTATTCTTCTTTGCTCCACCCAGGACAATGTGGCAACCTCCTTTTCAAATGTATGAGGTTGAAATATAACCCAAATCTCTTGTTTATGAAAATATGATTTCTCTGCTTAGAATCACCTCAGCTTTGCAGGTTTATGCTTTAAGTAATAATTGTAATAAAATACTGTAAAATACAAATGCACATCTCAGTGTGTTATTTCTTTTTAAAGTTTATATGAAGGAGCTGATTCGCAGCATCTTCACGGGATGCCACCAACAGTTCTTCTGAAGACCTTTTGGTTAGGAAGTGAATCAGGACTTTTCACTAAACAGTTGAACATTCTAGTAGACTGGGTCATAAACTCCTATAAAGAAAAGTACAAGACAGATGACGTGAGTGATTTACCTACCATAATGATTAAACAAAGACCAAAACATAGCTTTATGTTTTGTTCCTTTCTTTCAGAAGGACTTTATTAAAATCTTCATATCTTATGAAATAAAACATATTTGCTATTGTTGTATGGGAGGGTAAAAATTGAATCAAGCATCTGCATGTGTTATTTGTCAGAACTGTTATTATTTTAAATGCCTAGATACAGTATAGGAGATTTAAGTGGCATGTTGATTATGAAAACAGATACTGTGGAATGCCAGATCTGTTTTGAATGTGTATAATGTATTATCAAACATATGGTATAACTGAGAAGTTGAGCCATGGTGCAACTTTTGTGAGAAGAGTTTTTTACCTTCCCTCTTATGTCCTGATTTTTAAACCTGACTGCATATTATCTACTGGCAACATTCTCAGAAGATGCAATGTTCACAGGAGGATAGTGTGAGTGAGCCATTGCCTGAACTGACTTTGAAGTCAGTTCAAAATATTCATTCTTATAACAATCTTTTTTTAAATCGATGGGGTATCTTTGTTTCACTGGAAATGTGAGGACTAATCTCAATACTATAGAACAGTCTCATAACTGTGTGTTATGAAACAGTCTAATAATGCACAGGTCATCTTCCTTTTTTCCAGATTTTCAAACATGAGATAGCTGAGATATTGAATGGAATTTTGGGAGCCGTAGTGGATTATTGGATTCTTTCAGGGTTTGTGATGGACAGAAATGTGTTGCATCCCGTAGCTGATGATCTTGCTTCTTATATTGCTATTTCATGTGATGGTACCTTTCTTCATATTTGAATAATGAATAAGTTTGTGTAGAGCTGATGTAAAACTCTTCAGTTTGTACATACAAGCAATATTTGAGACATGTACCTGAATCTAGCATTTGATTTGAAATCAGTGTGTGAAGTAGAACGTCACTCATCTGCAGACTCTTGATCTTCTGTACCTTTTCTGAGCACATTCTGTTTTCCATTGTTCATCTCATCATAGAATCATTTGGTTGGCATTATTACCCACCCACCACCTGTTCCCTTTGACTTAGTACTTAGGTGCCTCCTTCTCACTTCTCTTTTCAACTTTATAATTTACATTTCTGTAACACGAAAGTGAAATAGTTTTCCTCAGACTGAAATTGTTAATTGCCCAAAGGCATTGTTAATGAGTCATAAACAAATGATATAAGTAAATAAATAAATACTTGGAAATTCCCAGGAATCATTCAGGCAATTGGTTGGTGTTTTTTGGTTTTGTTTGTTTTGTAATTTTAAGCATTTCAACCTGAACCAAATGGCACTTTATCATGGTACTTAAAAGACCAATAAGTTTTATTCAGCACAAACTTTTGTGCAATGCAGAGCTTCTTCAGATGTGTGCTCTTCCACTGTATAACACAGTCAGTGTGGTGCGGTGGATAGGAACTGGAGACATTGGTTCAAATTCCCTGCTCAGTCATTGGAGGGTGGTAGTGAAAAATCATGATTTGAGCATTTCATATATCACAAAAACGCTATTTTAGAAAAGCATTTAAGTACTTCAACAGCTTTGTTAGCCTGATTGGCAGTATCAAAGAATCTGTTCCTCCTGGTTGTTTTCAACAAACATCATCATCATCATCATCATCATTATTTATTAATTAATTAATTAATTAATTAATTAATTAATTAATTAATACCCCGCCTATCTGGTCGGTGAGGACCACTCTATATCATTTCAACAGGTTAATCTTAATAATTTAGGAGTAGCGGTAAAGAGGGAAAATGCAGTAGTGGTAAAATAATCAGTTATTTTTCTGTAGTCTAAGGTTCTTTTCCTTCTTTCTCTTCAGATTTTTCATCAGAGGAATTAAAAATGTTTGTTTCTTCCATCCCATCTTTGTGGCTTGAAATGTTTGTTGCAGAAGCAATCTTTAAAAAACATTTCCAAACTATTGCTGTTACATCTACTGAACCACTCTCTCTCCAAAAAATTGTGAGTGTCATTTTGTTTACCTCGTTTAAATTTAAGAATTCATGGGCTCAGTTCAAATGTAATGTTCACAGCAGAGAAAGATATGTTCATGTGTATCCCATTTCCCCAGCCTTGCTAATGATCACTTAATTTATAATCTAGGCATCTTCCAACATTTTCCCTATTTCATTAGAGATCACAACATCTTCCTCTATTTGATTCCTTTCAAATGTGTTTAAATACAATTGCCATCATCCACATGGTCAATGGCCATGCTGTGCAGGTATGAGTTGTGGTCTGTCTAGAACATGGGTTCTCAACCTGGGGATCAGGGCCCCCAAAGGGTCACAGAGCGGTTTTCTGGAGGCGGGGGAATTCACCATGGTTGTTTTTAGTTGCAGTCATTTTTATCTTTATTGTAGTAAATATGGTATGGACAATGTTGTGTTTTTTAATCCTTTTAGCCCACAGATTGATCATTTTAATCTTAATTGGATTAATTTCTATTAAATCACAAGTTACTTGTCTGTTAAGGGGGTCACAAAGAGATAATATACAAGAAGTAGAATCTGACAGGTATTAGCTATCCTGACAAGCTTTGGTACCAGAGTGCTAGCAAACCAACTGCATTATGTGCCTGATCCAAATTTACAGATGGAACATTGTAGAAGAAGCTAGAGGGAGAATGGTACAGCACAGGGCTGTGTAGAAGAGGGGAGAGAAGAAACATCTTCACCAAAAACAAACTTAACAAATTGTTTAAAATACAAAAAAAAGAGGAAGAAAGCCAACAATTAATGATAAATTGTAGAATGTTTTAAAAAAACAACCCCGCAAAACACTAAGCAATCTGTCTCTGCAAGGCTTTTCATTCTGCCTCTTACCTGTGGCTTCAGTTGTTTCCGTAATGTGTAACTTTTCCTCTGTAGATATTAAGGGGCAATATGGTATTTTAGCAGTGTCAGATTCGGAAATTCTATCAGAAGTGCATGGGCATCCTTGAAATCTGTGAGACTCACAAAGGATTTTCCTTTAGGCCTATTGAAAGAGGGAATTTGGTTTTGGGAGTTGGGAATAATCTGTGCAGATTGTTGTTTTTGGACTCCTGTGGGCTGTGTTCACGTGGCACCCAGTGCTAAACAATTTGGCAGTCCATAGCTCTGGCCGGCTGCGTGCTGCTTTATGTAACCCTCCACTCCCATCATGGTGAGGAAGGATAATTTTCTTTGTAGAAACAACTCAGTTGTGAAGTTCACTCCCAAAAGGAAATTAGGGTGGCTTCATCCTCACTTAGCTTCCAATAGGACAGAAGTGTAATGTTCGATCTGACCTTTGGTTTTAAAAATGGGCTTAACATTCTTTTAAATATTTCAGATAATGTTTTAAACATATTTTAGTGTGCAGGTTTGGTGTGCTGAAGAGTAATTAATAAATATTTCTAGTAATAAAAAACATAATAAAAACTTTCAGAGTTCCCATTTCTGCAGCTCTCTTCCCATGCAATTGCCCATGCTGGTTTAGAGGATCCCTCATCCTCCCTAAAGAAGATGCAGAAAGAGGAGGGGCCCTCAAAAGGAGGGAGTCAGCAAATTGCATCTCTTCCCTCCCTGCTTCTATTCGTAAAAGCCTCCAGTAAATTAAAGAACTTTTTGTGAACCCTGTGTGTGGAAAACAGTTTCTGTATTTTTATTCAGGGAACAGATAGTTTAAGTCATTCTTACTGTCAACTACTTCCTGTAGAAAGCAAGGGGAATGTCACTGGAAAACATTTTCATCCCGGTTGACAACATACAACAGACCTGATGTATAAAATTTTATCCATGTGTTAATAGATATTAATATAATTTTGCTATAACCAGTGGAATTGTGATCTGTTTTAATTTGCTCTGCTTTCTGGGGTGTACGTGGCTATGTATCATTTTTAATTTCTCATTTTTCTGTTAAAGCAATATGCAATTTTTTTTAGTGGAAAACTATAACTGCACAATCTGTATAAACTAGGAAGCTATATGGGGCCACAGGAATTAACTTCACTCCATAAGTACTATTAAAACTAAGCCTTGCACTTGGTGGCTGGAAGAAAGTAAAGCTATAATATCTTTATTTTATTTATTTATTTAGCAAACTAAACTAAAAATAGGACCTGGAGGAACCAGGTAATGGAGCTAATAACCAGACATGTGCTAACATCCTGTTTATACAGACTAAAGCATCACTGCTTAACAGGTTTGTGCCTATCTTCCTGCTTTACAACTATGGATGCGTGAGACAGAGAAGATGCAGAAAGCCAGGAGAAAGAAAATAGGGCAATGGCCTTGCCCTGAGTCTCAAAGGGCATTACTGATGCTTAGTGGTGATAAGCAGAACCAAGCCGAAGTGCTGCCTGATGTACCGTAAGTAATACCTATAACATCACCAGTTTTATTCTGCTTTGGGGGACAGCTTCTGACCTGACACATTTCTTGAACTTTATGTGACCTGTGTTGTTGTCTGCAAATTACTGTGACTGGCAGAAAGCTCTATTTTAATCCCATAACATACCTAGATAGGGAAAGCTGTTTCTCTCTTTCCTCCTGTTTCGGTATATATGCAGACTGCACATACTTTCCCACTATTAATGTAAATTGCTTCCCAAGAGAAATAGATCTATTCATGGAATTACATTTTTAAAAAACATTTTATGCCCTGTGTATTAAGTGATTGCTGGATTTATTACAAGTACATACAGTATTGTAGTGAATGTTTCAAAACTCGTGTAATGACCCGTATTTCAAAATCTGAAAGCATACATATGCATATGCATCTACACTTGTTCCTGCAATACTCGTTGGTGTTTTTTAATAAATGAAAATTAAGCTCAGTCATCTTACTGAATTTTTGTCATTGCTTCCTCTTAGTCTACAAACAAGTGGCAACTCTTCATACATTCCAAAGAAACGAAGGAAAAAAGAGAAAAATGAGATGTCGCATGGCAAAGAAAATCAGTTTTCTTCAGCTAAACAGATGAATGTTTGCAAAGTTAATATTAAAGGTATTGTGAGCTCTTTGCTTAACCTAAGTATTCACAAATCAGTTAGTAGTTTCATGTTTAGCTCTAGTGAATGTAAAGCTATCCAGTAAGCATATATGTAGGTTGAACATCACCAATATCAACATGTATGTAATGTTTTTTTAATATAAAGATAATAGTCTTGTATGTGATACAGCTTTTGTTGAGACATTTCTGACTCTCTCTCTCTCTCTCTCTCTCTCTCTCACACACACACACACACACACACACACACACAGAGAGAGAGGTTGCCAATTAGAGAGAGAGAGAGAGAGAGGTTGCCAATCGTGGGCTCATCCAGAATAAGTCAATTCCAGTCGTGACTGCCTTGCTTTGCTAATCCACCTCAACCTGTGGTTGGGAAGGATCAGCATCGTCTTCTGATTTGAAAGTCTAATTCAGTCTTCATCTCTTTCACTCCTAGACACTGTGCGAACAAAGACTGAAGTGTATGCTGTGTTACGTAGCATATGGACTGTTGTCTTCTAGGCATTGAGCCCAGTCTATGAAATGCATTTGGCTTTTACTCTTAACTACATTGCAATCCAAACAGTAAAGGTTAAAACAGCAGCATAGTAATTTAGTCAGTGTCTGGTTAAAGCAAAAATACAATAAAATGCACTTCTGCAGATCTGTAACCATCTTAAACTGCAGGGTGGAATTCATTTTTTCATACTAATTTTACATAGACAGTATGTCTTTGTTATGACATGGATGCTCTGCAGTGCATTTGCTTATGAGAACTATGTTCCAAACAGTATGTTGGATGCACTAAAAACAAAGAACCTTCAATTTAGTTTTAGCCTTATTTGCTAAATTATTATTAACTTGTAAAATGCAATTTTAAAACTGTCTCATTTTTCCTTAGTGATCTGTTGGTACCAATTTTATATAAATTGATAAATAATTACTATTAAGTGTGGAAGGGTCTAAAGCACAAGAAAGTGGCAAGATGTTTCTGTTTTCTGAAACAAGCAGCCTCTCTGTCTAAGAATAATGTCCTGCTGGAGATAAATATAGGACTAGTAAAATGGCTTAAGAAGGATGTTCAGGCATTTGCAGTTCTTTATTTGATAAAGGCCTACCTACTTTCATGGCCCCATCATTTCCTGGATGTAGATAACAAACTATGAACCCATCCCCATTGTGTGCAAATGGAAGGGGAGGACCGGAATATCCTCATTTATGTTTTAGGGCTTACTTGAGCATTCATCTTGGATCATATTATTCATAAACTTTTTTCTAATGTACTCAGTTGACAAAAAAATTAGATAATTACCAGAATGTTACAATCTGCCTAAATTAATAGGGCTACTACTGGTAAACTGCAGTTCAGTCTTTACTGTTTTCTTGCCCTTTTACTGGCTCTAAATGAGACTGTGTTCCATCTTCTTAAGACTGCTTCATTCTTTTTAATCTCTTTTTTCTCTCCCTTTCCTCCCACCCTCTTCTCTCTCTGGTACTGTAGGCAAGCCAGACAGCCTATTGAGAAACAGCAAACCATCTGTTAACGGATTTGAAGTTCTGAATTGTACTTGAGTGTGTAGAGGCACTCGTGCTTAGCCAGAAACATTCATTTGAATTAAGCTACAAACGCTGTGTAAAAAGAACCATACACTTAATGTAGGTTCATGAATAAATTTAAGGGAGGGCAACTGCACTCTAAACTTTTATTGCTTCAAAACCAAGCATTTTTGGTGTTCTGTGATCATTCGGTGCTTTTATAATGTGATTGAAGCTTTTACAGCTTGAACAGGAAGGTTGTGGGGGGAGAGATAATTCCTATGTTAACCCTTTCGCAGTGCAGTTTCATTGCTGGATCTCTAATGGAACACAGAAGCTCTGTGAGCTTTTTGAATTTTCTTAAAAGGTGTTTAAGCAGGACAAAGGAAAATCCTATTCATTACTGAATGCTCTGGCATGTAGCCATATCTCCTAGTTCTCCCTGCACCTTATTTTCGTCAGTTGCCATTTTGCCTAAATTGGTATTATCTATTAATTTTATATGCTAGGAGAGACAGCTCTGCATATTGCTTGCAAAAGCAACAACGTGAAGAAATTGATTCATCTTCTGTCTCTACCAGGAATAGATATTAACGTTAAAGGTAAGTAGCTTATTTTCTGTATTGAACAAACAGCCCAAAGTTCCCAAACTCAAACATGTATGTTTTTGAAGGTTCTGCTTGTTTCTTATTTTCCTTCCAAGGGTTTATGACTGAAATCAAAGGTTATATAGCTAGGTTGTAACTAAAGATTATTGAACCAGCCTTTCATTGCATTTAATTGTCTGTGTTCAGTTTTCTATTAAAACTCATTAGTGATTTAAAAATTACTTATATCTAGCCATTTTATAATATGGAGAAAAAAGCTTTGAGTAGCTTTGTAGTCACTCATGGCCTGAATTTCTCGTAACTGTCTCACAGACTTGGTCTAATGTAGAATTTTGATTGAAAGTTTTTCATTTTTAACACTAATTATATTCCATTCTGTCAAAAGAAAAGCATCACATTCAGATTGGTACAGAATGATAGTGAAGTAGACCTTTGCTTTTAATATTAGAATAGAAAATTAGCATATTGATCTTTCTTTTTAAAAAATATCATACTTTTACCAGCAACACAAAAACATTTTTATGTGTTTTTAAGGAATCTATATTGCTGTATTATGGTCATCTTGCTACTAATTTATAATGTGTTCCCAAACTTCCCCTGATTTATAATTCAGACCATGCTGGCTGGACGCCTTTGCATGAAGCCTGTAACCATGGTAGCGCTGTATGTGTCCGTGAAATTTTGCAACATTGTCCAGAGGTAAACCTGTTCAGCCAAGTGGATGGGGTGACTCCCTTGCACGATGCATTGGCAAATGGATATATAGAGATCGCTGAGCTTCTACTTCAGTATGGGGGTGAGTCCGTTTATGTTAAATAAAGCTTAGATAGACTTGACTGTGAAAAAGAGCAGACAATTAAAATTGAAGCTGTTTTGGATGTCATTTGGAAAGCTAGAGGGTTTAATTCATATTGATTCATATCTTCCACATTTACACTTCTTCATTCTGTCAGTTTTTTTCATAAACTCTTTATTTTACTCACTTTCATATTTGCTGAAATTTAGATTTAAAGATGTATAATAAACAGTAGTATAGATTGCATACTAGTCTAATCAGGTTTTGATTTCACACCAGTTTTTGCAGTGTTCTGCAGAATGTCTAGCTGAATTAATTCATAGTAAATTTATAGTAATTTAAATATTTTGTGGTCAGCTTCTAGAAGGCTTATGGTTTTATATTTCTTAGAGGGAAAAGGTAAGAAATAGCTCACATAGCATATTTTAAATATGTGAAAATTACAACATACTGTGTGCATCCTAATTGAGACATCACTGGAAGTGTTAAGATGTAAATTTGTATACACACACACCTGTACATATAAAGCCTTTGAAAAACGCAGAACAGCACGTAATAGTTTTATTGTATACATCACTCTAGTTTTGCTCTCATTTCACGTCTAGATTGTACACCTGTAATGCTATCTGTGCTGTATGCAGTAAAATACTGTAATGGTCTTTGGTTAGCTTTTAACTAAACTTGGCCAAAAACACAAATATTATGTCTATATTGTCTGCCTAGAAGACCTCTGTGTATCTGCAGTCTTCTCCTGCCCCCTAAAGGCTACTGTATTTGTCTCTTGCTGACATCCTTGCAACAATCAATACATCCCTTGCTCTTCTCCCTCTGTGTAAGTTGGGCTGAACCTTAATGCTGTCTCCCAGGTGTTTTATTTATCTGTTACACCATGCAACTGACATGCCAAGCCAATACCTGGCCTCTCTTCAATCGGTCTAAGTGATGCAAGAGCCAATATTACAGCAAGCCCTGGTCTTCAATAGAATGTGGCATTACACTGACAGATGTGCATTTTTCCTGGGTGTCGGTGAAGAATGGCCCCTTGTCCTAGGGGAGAAGATCTACTTGCACTTTCATCCATCAAGGGCTTCTGGCAACTGTACAAGCTGTGTGTGCAGACTTATCTTTGCTGTCACATGCCAGGCTTTGGCCTGTCGAGCAGTTTGACAACAGCATGACAGGAACTATGTTGCACATTCACTGTAGAATTACTCATGTTTGGTAACTATCTATAATTTAGAGTCTTCTAGCAAGTTGCCCTTTCCACAACTACAAACTGTCTCTGCTACCTACTCCATTGTAGGCTTTTTAGAAAAAGTAAAATTGCAGTGTAATATCTGCCTTGCAAATTTACTTAATATATATCTTTATGACTGTAGTAAATACTCCCTGTAGGTATGCCATGCAATCTACTAATACAACTTTTATGACATTGTTATTCCATCCTGGTGTCTTTGACTACAAATTCCATTTGCACTTGTGAAGAAAGCTACTTATTGTAGTGTGGCCTGAAATCCCTGTTGGATTTGTTTATTCTGAATAGGCTAATACTCACCTATAGGTCTTGCTGCAACACAGAATCGCTTGTCAGGGAGCAAGCAGATAGCCAAATGCTAATAGTCCTCTTGCTTGCCAAACAAGTGCTGCCCACTTGGGACATGGGTTTTGAGTGTTTTGCCATGTACATTAACCATGCTAGAGTGGAATGTGTGTGATTAAACATGATTCTCTATATATAAATTTACTAGGAGCATATATAATTTTGGTCTTTATTGAACTGTATTATGTATAAGGCTTTATAGGATCAAAAGCTGTTATTCCAGCTTGATTCTCAAGTCTTGTGCACTGCTTTTTTCCAAAATACAACACAGTGTCTCATAAAGTACACCTTTTATAAATGGCTGTGATTCATTATCTCTCTGGCTATGGTAATTGAAATATTTTCCAGAATCCCATTGGATGTTTATGTACACACAAAATCAAGAATCAAAGTTGCCATGGCTATCTGAGAAGGTGCCAGCTGTGTGCCTTGATCACAGCTCTTTCGCACACTTACTCTGGCACATGCCCAGCACCTTTAAGTTGGCTGTGGCAACTTCTATAATTCCTCTTGCATACACATCAATATTTAGCAGGACTTTAGCAGTTAAGGAACTTTTTTTAACAAAAAAATAATGGTCTCATTCATCTCTGTATGTGAATCAGCTGCAGTAACAAGTATTATGTAGAATAATGTTTTGATGTTACTCAGAGATGTTTACTGAAACATGATAGAGGTAAACTCAAAACAAGCTGATTACATTTGAAAAATAAATGTATAGTATACAGATGTGAACAGGAATAGTATTGGGTTTACTTAAATGTATCAAATTAATTGACAGTGCAATCCTGTATATGATTATATTGTAGAAGTCCAGTTGAGTTCAGTGAGGCTTAGAGAACTGCAGAATTATTGTTTATACCGTATTTTTGATATGTAAATCTGTGTATATCTGAGAGTTTTACAACACTTTTTAAGGTTTTTTTCTTACCACATGAGTGTATACATAAGGAATCAAAATCTTAAATAGCCAGCAGCAGCCTTCCCCTGCAACAAGACATGGTTGTTTTACATTCTAATTGTAATTAATCAATACAGTTGGGCTGGTTTATCATCTCCTAGATCTTTAAAAGTTGCAGACAGACCAGTAGATGTTGCAAAAATTATGCCATCCTATCTAACATTTTCTCTGTTCTTCAGGACCAGTATTGCTGCAGCAGAAAGATTCTAATGGAAACCTGCCACTTGATCTTGTAAACTGTGTAACAACTAAGCAACATCTTTTGCAAATTGTTCAGTCAGAACAGACGGTTGAGGACTTTCATGCTGAAGTAGAAAACTATCTGTATAATCAACAGACAGTATTTTGGACAATTCTTCTTTGTAAAATGTTGCTAAATTTTTGTACTGTGTATAATTTATTTAAACCTTTATCTGTAATATTTAAACATTTAGCCTGTTCAAATCTAACAATGGTTACTTCTAGTTGCTGCAAGTTTAATACAAGCTCTGCTAGCCATTGGTTCCTAGATCTTTATTGTAGAGAGCTTGAAACCTTTCAAAATCTGCCTGAATATCTTCAGAAAACCATTGAAGATCTGAACAGTGAATCAGGAGAAGAGAAACAAGCATTTGCAGCAACATTACAACAAATTTCCATGACAGTTCAGATGTCTAGATATTCTTTGACCAACTAACTTTCAAAGTCGCCTGAGCTGTCTATAATTGTTGATTCTCCAAAATTTAGGATAATATCTGTGCCTCTTTGAACTACTCTTCCCTGAAACCATGTTGTTATCCTTGTTTGTTCTTGCCAACTCTCATTCAAACAAACCACACTTTCCCATTTTACAGAGAGATGTGGTTTATGGGATCAGAGGAAAATGTTTCTGGTCTCATAAATAGGTATGTGTAAACCTAAGGCTCACTATGGCTCATTTATCTATTGAAAAGCTGGTGTCCTATTACTTGTGATCTGGACTATATTATTGTTCTGCTAGCCTTCCGAGCTGTACCAATGATCTGGCTCCAATTCATTGTGTTTTCTTATGCCAGCAGTTAAACTTGATTTGATTAGTTATTATACCAACCATGAATGAATAGGCTTGTTAGGTTTGTTTGTTTATTAGTTTATAGTACATTAATATTTGCGTAAAATAAATGTTTGGAAAATCCTTTGCTTGGTAAGTCATTCCTCTCCGTGCTTCACCAATCTTCATTCCATTAATTGATTTCATTAATCATTCCAATGATCGTTTGCTATAAAATGCAAAGACTCTGCTATAGAGTGACGACAAAGAACAAACCAAGCAACTTCCTACATACACATATCAAATTAATTCTACCAAAATACAGTAGAATTTAAGAGCTTCTCGGAGAAATAAATTAGGTCTCCCTGCACGGCTGCTGAGTGGCCAGCACAGCAGAAAAACTGTGCCATTGGTGAGAAAAGAGCAACCTTCGCCACACTGGGACACGTGAGTGGACCAGAGTCCCAGGGGCTGGACCCTTGTTAGGTTCAGCTGGGACAGTGGTATTTGTATTTGTTTATGAATACAACTATCCCCATCTCTATTGGGAACTACTAGTGTAGTGCCACCTTTATACATGCTGCTTTAAAAAGACTATGCGGCAGGACCATATACTCAACTGTGCTTATGGTCTAGAAATACATAAGAAACCAAGGAAAGGAATAAAGATGGAAAAGGGAAGGTAGGAAGAAGTGTCATTTCCCCCACCCACCCCGATTACATTTATTTTGGATGAGCTACAGTACAATATTGAGAGAAGGTTCCACAACCAGAGTAATTTTGGGAAGTCCTAGACCTTGGGATTGGGGGAGGACTGGAAATACTGGGCATACTGAAATACTTCCAGTTGGATCTAGGGATGAACAAAAGCTACTTTGGAGATTTAAGGAGATGCATCACTTGATCAGAGCAGTGAGGAAGGAAAGAGATGGATAATGATTACCTGAGGTATTTGGAAGAATGAGAAGTCCTTTCCTTCCTCAAGTTCTTACCAAATGTTTGTTTCCATCCTTGCTCCTCAAAGGCAGCACCATTCAGTTTTTCCTGAAGGTAGATGTGCAGAGATTCTTATACTGTATAGTAATTAAATTCTGATACTAATAGCAAATGTTATTTCTATTTTATTATATAGTAGTGGCATGAGTCAGAGTGTAAAAATTTTGTTTTTTCAACTTTTCCAGGGCTGGAATGTCTAGAATCAGTTAACAGTCGGTTGACAGTAGCAATCAAAATTCATTTTGCATCTACTTGATAGCACTTCATATTCTTTTTAAGCAGAACTAAGAGTTTCTCCCATTTATGCACTCAGGAGCAAATTTAAAAGCAGACTAATTGCTATTTACCATGAGTGAAATGTGAAGACTGGTATCTGAATGACTGATTAATGGAAAAATTCTGAAGGAGACAAAAGTTCTAAGAATTTCCAACAACGTGTAGGGCTACCAGGGATTAACATGACCAGAGGAGTTGTTCTTCCAGATAATGGTGAGATGCTACTCACAGCATGTCTCACTCTTGATTTTGCTGATAAAGACTGATGGGGATTAAAGGCCAAAAAACATTTGGAGAATCATAGGAGCCCATTTCTGGGGCCAAAGCTGCATCCTTCACACACACTGGCTCCATTTTGTAATACTTCGACTAGTACTGAAGAAACCCTGGTTCAGGTGGCCATTCAGCTTTGAAGGCTACTGGGTTGTCTTAGGCCAGTAAGCATTTCTCAGTCAGTCTGTTGTGAATGGAAGCAAGACCTTGCCCTGTATTTTTTCTGATTATAAGATGTCCCAGTTTATAAGAACCCACACACACACTTTTCTAACCCCCAAATTAAGAAAACCTAGCTTAGAGGATTCAGCCTCTGGCTGAGAACACTCTGACATTAGGAGTCCCTGTTGAATCAGCCTACAGGCTTCACCTCCAATGAGGTGTGTTCCTATTGGTTTGTTCAGCATCTGTTGACATCAGTTCCATAACGCTTGTGATTGGAGGAATTTAAGTCTCCTGACTGTAGCAAGCTAGACCTCCTGATTGGAGGCAGCTAAGCCACATGATTGCCTGTTTACATAGGCAAGGTACGGGCAGTTTTGTTCTCTCCTCAGCTATCTCAGTTTACTTCTGTGTAAAAGATGCCCCTCAATTTTAGTGTAATTATTACAGGAAAAAGTAGCATCTTATACACTGAAAATTCTTTTAGCTCCTTGGAGAAAAGCCAGAACATTACTTAAGGAAATAAGGCAACAAGAGGAAATATGCATGTGTGTTTACTTACATATGAACCTGCACACACAGAGTGGGGGCGAGAGTGAAGAAAGGGAAGAATCAGCAAACAGGTGTGTATAGTTTATTATTAAGGCGTTATAAGATACTGTACATTTTTTCAAGCTGAAGATTCTTTAGTTATAGCACTTCATATCCTTAAACTGAATATTTACAGTACTGGCCATCAGTCTTGCAGAAGTAAGGAGATCCAGCAACTGTAATTTAAATAATGCCATACAGTATTTGGAGAAAATGTATTGCACGAAAAATGCCTGCAATTAAAACAAAACAAAACAAAACTGTTTTCTTATTCAGCTGTTTGGTATTTATATCTGCTCAGCCATCTAACCAGCCTATTCATCTGTAACAACCCCCACATCCTACCTTATATGTTTTGCCACTACACTGTTGCTTTGATGGAAGGAGCATCATGGGGATTCTTTAGCAATTCTTAAATGTGACAAAGACATTCCAGGACTGTAGGTAAAGCTCTTGGATATATTTGCTTATTGATAGCTTTTAGAATTTGCAACTCAAGGTAACTCACGACATACGGTATTTCCTCACAATCCACTTGTGCATGTGCACACGCACACACCAAGATGAAACAAACGGAAGTGGGCTATATGGTGCCCTGTCACACTGAACTACATTCTGCAACAACATATAGGAACCGGCTGTTAATATCTTCCCACCATTTGCTTGACATGATGATTTAATTCATCATGATTACAGAGTCATGGATCTGTAGTGCTATTGTAGAAAGAAACAAAATATATATTTGTATTGTAACAGTATCAGAAGTACTGGAAGTGAAGTATAAATGTGGTCTGTAGCTCAAGATCAAGATTCCTTCCTATATCCTTTAATATTCCTCTTTCCATTTATACAATATTATCCTCTTTTGGAATGCCTACAATTGACATTTATTTATTTAACTTATATGCCACCCACACTACCCAAAGGTCTCTGGGCGGCTTACAACAATTAAAATACAATAAAAAAGATAAAACAATTAAAATACAATGAAAATATATACTCTAAAAATTGCCATCAGGACCCACAGTTGATACTATTTCAGTTAAAAGCCTTCTGGAACAGGAAGGTTTTGACCTGGCGCGGAAATGTCATCAGCGTCGGCACCAGACGAATCTCTGTCAGGAGGGCATTCCATAGTCTGGGGGCAGCTGCCAAAAAAGCCCTTTGTCTCCTTGAGGGACGGCTCTTTCAAAAGGGCCCCCTGACTAGATCTTAACAGCCAGGTAGGTTCATATGGAAGGAGGCGGTCCTTCAGGTATCCACGGCCCATGCCGTTTAGGGTTTTATATGTCAAAACAAGCACTTTGAATTGGGCCCAGGCAGCAACTGGAAGCCAATATAATTTAAACAGAATCGGCTTGATGTGCCCCCTAGTGGCCCCACCACTCACCAGCTGCGCAGCTTGATTCTGGACCAATTGCAGTTGCTGGACTGTCCAAAGGCAGCCTCACTTAGAGTGCATTGCAGTAATCTATATGAGATGTTACCAGTGCGTGTGTATCCGCTTGTCCAGGTAGGACGGTAGCTGGTGTAATTTCCACAACTGAAGGAAGGCGCCCCTGGCCACTGAGTCCACCTGGGCTTCCAGACTTAGACTGGGGTCTCCCAGGCTGTGGGCCCTGTCCCTTAGGGGGAGTGTAACCCCATTCAGGGCAGGGAAATGGCCCTCCAGCCTGTCCAGCAAAGCACCCACTAACAGCACTTCCATTTTGTGTAGACTGAGTTTCAGTTTATTAACCCTCATCCAGTCCATTATCAGGTCCAGACACAAGCTCACCACAGAAACCGCCTCATCTGGATTGGTGGAAAACGAGAGGTAGAGCTGAGTGTCGTCAGCATATTGCTGACTCCTCAGCCCAAATCTCCTGATGACCTCTCCCAGTAGTTCCATGTAGATGTTAAACAGCACAGTGGACAGTACTGAGCCCTGAGGAACTCCATGACATAAAACGCCGTGAGACAGAGCAACTGTCCCCCAGCACCACCCTCTAAACATGGCCAGCCAGGAAGGAGCAGAACCACTGTAAAGCAGTGCCCCCAACTCTCAATCCAGCCAGCCTATCCAGAAGGACACCATGGTCAATGGTGTTGAAAACCACTAAGAGGTCCAGGAGTATCAACAGGGTCACACTCCCCATGTCTCTCTCCCAGCAAAGGTCATAGTACAGGGCAACCAAGGCAGTCTCCGTACCAAAATCCATCCTGAAACCCGATTGAAATGGATCCAGAAAATCCGTTTCATCCAGCTGTGCCTGGAGTTGCCCAGCCACAACCTACTTCAACACTTTGCCCAAATAAAGTTCGCCACTGGTCAGTAGTTAACCACCAGCCTTGGGTCCAGATTAGACTTTTTTTAGGAGTGGCCGAATTACTGCCTCTTTCAAGGTGGTAGGGACCACTCCCTCTCTCAAAGACATGTTCACAGCCTCCTGGACCCAGGTGCGAACCCCCCTGGCAGATCTTCCAATTAGCCAAGATGGGCAAGGGTTGAGCGGAGTGGTGGTAGAATGGACAGATCCAATCACCCTGTCCACATTCTCAGGTCTCAACAATTAAAACTCATCCATTAATACTTGATCTAAGCATGGCACATTGGACACATCCTCTGATTCTGCTGTAATGGTGGAGTCCAACCCACTGCGAATCTGAGTGACTTTCCCCTCAAAATGAATGGCAAACTCATCACAGTGAGCTGATGAGCAGTCCGGGACCTCCACCGGATTTCCCGGTTGAAGAAGATCCCAGACCACCCAAAACAGCTGTGCTGGATGACATTGTGAGGAAGCAATACAGCTGGAGAAATATTGCCATTTCGCCAGCCATATTGCCACGAAATAGGCCCGATAA